GTGTTAGTTAACTGTCGTCTCTATGGCAGCAGCTGCACGAGGCCAAAAAACTCTCACTAGGCACTTAAAAATTAACGCTTTTGACAGCCAAACGGACTTTCAAATGTCCAAAGAGCAACGCAGCCAAGCTGCCAAGCAGCCAAGCGGCCAACTAGCCACAAGTTGTGGCAAGCCGAATGCGCAGGCGCAACAATGTGTCAATGTGCCGAGCGAGCGGCAGCTTTAACAAGATTGGCAGCGACGTCGACGTCGTCGTCGTCGTCGTCGTCGTCGTCGTCGTTATCGTCGTCGCTCATGTCGGCGGCAGATGAGACACCGACAACGAGCTGGTCGTGGCCAATCTTCAGATTTTCTCATAAGGTGCAAAATCTGTGGATATCATCATAAAAGACGAAACAACCGAAAACATGCACAGAAATGAACCCGAGAGCCGACAGAAGAAACAAAGTCGTAAAAGCCGCAGCCGCCAGAGCAGACAGAAACGCCTCTTTTAGGTTCTGGCCCCAACTTAAGAGGAGAGCAGCTCACGAGAGAGAGAGCGAGAGGGAGAGCGAGGGACTGAGAGGGGCAGCTAAAGATACTTCCTAATTAGCTGGCCGACTGCTTTGCAATTGAGGGCGACTGAGCTTCAATATTTTTAGTATATATTTTATTATTATACTGTATTGTTGTTTTCTCTTCTTCTTGTTCTGTTTTTTCGTGGCAAATGCACACACAGCCTCACAGCCCTCTCTCTTTCGCTGAACGTGAATCCTCTTGAACAATGGAGCAGTTAAAATCTGTGGCTAATAAATAAATTAAGTCTTTAACGATGACAACGCGGGCGCAAAGCCAGAAGCGGCTCCGCAGGGCGCTTGAACATCTCAATTATGTTGTTGAAGCTCATTGTTTTTGGATTTTTTCTTAATTTTCTGATGGTTATGTGGCTATTTTGTTGTTACTGTTGTTGTTGTTGTTGTTGTTATTTACGCTTATCTCACCGCTGATCGGCCACAGCTGCCCAAATTGCGGAAATTCGCCAGCCGTGCGGCAATACAATTTAAATGGGCTCATAAATGTGCTCAAATGCCCTCAGCTCACAGAATGCCGTGGGCTGGGGTTCAGTCATCTATGCGAATTATTTCGCCCCCAATTAAATATGTAATCAAACTTTTGTTTATGCTCTTAATTAGCTAATTTGCAAACAATTAAAATCAGAGCTCGCGCTGCCTCGATGCGTCCATTTGCCCACAGCCAGTGGCACTGGCTACAAAGTTGCCAACTCATTTGATTGCCAATAGACACGAGCGCGTAAAGCCAACTCATGGCGGAAAAAAATGCGTACCAAAGGTGAAATTGTCTGAAAAGTGAAATGTTTGCATAACAAACGTCCAAATCGGAAAGAAAGCTCCAGACTCTAGATGCTGTAAGCGTTGCAGGGCAAAGCACCTGAGCGATTCACGAGAGATAATATTGTACTAGAAGATTACTACTTGGCGTGAGCAGAGTCTCACACTTTGGTTGTAATGCACGCATTAAGTGAATTCTGTTAGATAAACTTTCTCTTGCTACATATAGAAGGAGAAATAGAAACATAGAACACAAATATTCAACAAGATCTAATCTGTGAAAATGTAAAATTTACATAAATGATACAAATACTAGAGAGATAGGATTTTAGTATTTTCTTTATATTCCATTCACTTAACTTTTCATTTCAATCATAATCTATTTTGCCAAAAATTCAGTTGTTGCCAAAACAGAGAGAGATAGAGAGAGAGAAGAGAAACTCTGTTCCCACGTTTGGCAAACGGGAATACAGTTTTATAACCGTAACCAGACACATACATAGCTCTGGCCCTGAGAATATTTCGTGATGTCCACCTGCAAAAACCTAAACTAAAATTGAAGAGGAAAGAAGATCTGTTGTTGCAATCCCGTATGTCCGCTAGTCCTAGCTGCGTGGCTCAGAGAGCCTCAGAGAGAACAGCTACGCACGGAATCGTTTTTTCTTTCTTTCAGTGTTTTATTTTGTTGTTGCTTTCTTACATTTTGTTCAGCAGGTAATTTCGTATATATAAAGCGTTTCCAAACAATCGAGTTTCGTAAATGACAATTTTTCTGTGTGAACTGCCTGTGAGCAGAAATAGAACAAAGCCGTGGCCAGGCAATGCACCTGAGCTAGTGAAAGATCACGTCTATTGTGTGGCTGGGAGAAAATAATGCTTTATATAATTAAAAAAAAAAAAAGTCCGCTTTAACAGCATGCTATGCCAATGACAGGGCCTTAAGAAAGCAGCTGCCAAAAAAAAAAAAACACACATACACACACACAAAGAAACAGAAAATGAAAAAAGTAAAACAAGTTTGTTGCTTGAGTCTTTTGTTTGGCAATGGGGCGCTCGTCAAGTTTATTTTTTTATCGCTTATTTAGGCTAACGCAACCTGGTAGCCTGCCTCTGCCTCATCTCCTTTCGATTTAACGCAACACTCCTGACAAATGAGCAGCATATCCTGTTGATCCTGTTGTAAGGAAATAATTATATGGCTCCCGAACGTGTGAACGCTGCAGCTTTAATTGCACAAATAATTAAAAGCTCATAAATTAGCGAATTGCAGCAAAAACGAACGAAAAACGTGCAAATTTAATTATGTACCAACTCAATTAATTCATTAAACGGCCTCAACGGCAACCACAACGACAACAGCAACGGACGCAGCACAGCTTCTGCATTTAAATCAATCAACGCCAAATACTTGCAGAGACGCGCCTTTTTCCCTAAGGACGTGGGCAGTGAGGCAACCGGTTTGCCGAGGCAGCCGCCGCACAGTCCTTACGCATCCTGCGGCGCACTTAGAATATGCATTATGCAACTGGCCAGCAGCAGAGGTGCGCCTGGGCTGGGGCTTTCATAATTTATTGATTTTGTACGGCGTCACATTTGTCTCTCTGTCTGTCTCTCGACACTGAACGCTGACAGTTTTTGCCACTGCCGTCGTCGTCGACGTCGTCGTAGCAGCGACATTTTGACAGTTGCAGGTTGTCATCGCAGTGCGCCGCTCTGCTGTCACCTTAATTGCAACTGACGCATTGCCAAAAATATATTTATATATATATGTACAATCGAGCCACTGGCGCATATCCTGTCTTCCTGCCTCGTTTGCCCCCGTCTCGAGATAAGCTCGACTGTCATTTCAATTTTGCAAGCTGCCAAATAAACAGCGCAAGGTGCGCTAGCCAGTCTCCCAGTCTCTCGGTCTCCCTGTCTCCATCTCTCACGCAACAGTCTCTCCACTGGCTATCTCACTCTGCCTTTCTTGCCTTGTCACTCCTTATGAACTAGCACTCTTATCCAGTTGTTGAGCCACTTCTTCGCCATCAGACATGAATGATTAAATAATATGTCAGGCCTGGGGCAACCCTTTAGATATAATTCCACGCTGTACGGCAGCATTGAGTCGAACGGAAGTTTGTGGCTTAGCTCTTTTGTTTTGTGGTAGGGTAAACTGTTAACGGCTGCGCAAATTATCAGCTTAATAATTGCAAACGTTGCATCATAAACTTGGCGACATTGTGGCATGAGTTGCAGCACTGTACTGAGATGCATATTTATAAGCAGATGATAGATATTGATATTAAGGTATATTGATATATTTGTAGTCAATAAAATAAATTACAATAAGTCTAAATGAAATGTTGATATATGCATTAAGTACTTTATGCTTTGAGGCTGAAATAATTGAAAAAATTTATTTAATTGAATTTAATATGCCCGACTGTTGACTTTAGAGAAATGCTTTCCATAATGCAATTTATATTTATGAACTAAAAATATATAGTCTCCCATTGCCTTATCTTTTGAATGGCATCTTTCGTATGCGCATTTCAAATTTGACCGTGGATGCACTGTCTTGAAAATATACCAAAATTAACTTTCATTAATCGTATGCATGTCGTGGCTGGCTCCAGCTGAAGGTGGCCAAAATATTTTAGGCCGCTTTTACCGTGAGCTCATCTCATTAGGAATTCGCTTTGCCACACATGCGACATAATTAAAAGGTCAACCCTCTCACTCGAGTGGGACTTTCGATGGATAGATAATAAATTACCGAAATGTAGACGCGCTGCAATTAAAGGGAAAGCATGGCGTTGCTGAGCCCAGCTGACTAACCCCTTTGACCCATTAATTCTAACGAAAGCGTTCGGGCAGCGCGGCTGGCAGGTGCAGGTGCGCGGCATGCACCAGGTTAAACAGTCTGCTAATGATATCAATAAAATGTAAATAAAACGATGCAGCGGCGCAGTCATAAACGAAATTGTTGGGCAGCTCCGAATATGCCACAATTAAAATGCAATTTCGTGCAAATCCTTGATGCAACCGTGTAACTGTAAATGCAGCACGTTGCACCTGCGAGTCGACCTGTTGCAGATGCCTATCACAATTTGGCTGCTTGCTCATTAACGGCAGTGCAGCCGAGCGAAGCGTATTTATTTTTATTAATTTTAATAGCGAATTGAATGCATTCGTATTCGTATTCGTTTTTGTGTCGCCTGCAACATGCAACTGCAGCAGCAGAGCCGCGTGGCAAGTGCAGCGTGACCAATGCCCAAAAATTGAACTTTCGACTAGGGAGTGAATATCTGCTCGTTGCACGCGCTGCTCAACCCTTTAGCATATCGAAATGCATTCGAAATCAACCAAAAATACGGCGAGCGTTAAATTTTGTTCGTCGGTTCGCTCGTCTGCCCCATTCCCATCCTCATACTCATGTTCGTCCTCATCCCTGTTCGATTTCTACGCTTTCTACACTCACTCTCTCGGCGCAGGAACAGGTGTAATGATTTTGCTTTGCACCTTGACTGCTGCTTCCGTTTCGATAGGCTCAGTAGTAGTTGTTGTTGTTGTTGCTGTCGTCGTCGTCGTTGCCGTCGATAGCTTTTTGGCTGAGGGTAATTTGTGTGCCTTTACTTCCTCACCAATTTTATTTATACAGGGTGTCCCATGCAACAATCTTTGAGCTTATAAATTAATTACAATTGGCGTCTTTGAGTTGACCTTTTCAGCTTTTGAGTAGAGGCTTTAGAGACGTGAACTTAATGCAAGTCTACTCAACACTCACCCAGCTCCTTCTTCCGCTTGTGCTCTTCGGACTCAGCGTGCATAAACACTGCTAGGGCATAGTGCAAAATTGGCAGCACGACAAACAACTTCGGAAACGTCTGCCATTTAATATTCATGTTTTAACGTACAATTTGTGAATACAAAATATCGAAACTTATGATGACAGAATTATCATTCGACATATATTCTCATTAAATACTAATGAATTGAAACTCGCGGCACCCTGTATATATTAGCCCCTGTTTAATCGTTAATTTCATACTAAGGACTTTATTATCGGCATTGTATCGTAAGCGATACAAAGCAGCAGCATTTAAGCACACTGAGAACAAATTTGTAGTACTAAAGAGAATTACGAGGAAAATTTAAAATTGATTTACTTATATAAAGAAAATTTTAAGAAAAATTTAAAAAAAAGTTATTTATATAAAAAAAATGTCAAGAAAAAATTAAAATTTATTTAATTATATAAACAAAAGAATTTTAATTTACTTATTTATATCTTTAAAAATTATTTTTTTTTTTTTTTTTTTTTTAAGTAGAAATTCTAGGAGTAATTTTTATTTATTTAAAAAATAATTTTATTAAAATTGAATTTTATAATTCTTTATACAAGTATCTCAGATATTTGTATATATTCAAAAATGTTGTTCAAGAAGTACAGCCATAAATTTGTCGCAGTGCATGAAAATATAATACGACCGCAAGACAACTTCCTCAATATCAATCATTACGCCTGCTATATTTCCTACCCCCATATACAACTTTCTTCATAAAGCATTTATGCAGCCCCACATACGCAAAAAAAAAAATAAGAATTGCCATTGCGAGCAGGTTGCTGTGAACAGGACCGACAACTGCAATTTTCAGGTGTTAGCCGAGTGGATGGGACAACCCTTTCATTAGACAGGCAAAAATGATATATTTAATCCGTTCGGCCGGCCGTTCGCTCATATGGGCAGTGAAGCGAATGCTCGTCTTCGATGCGATATAACGCGATACAACAAAAAGGCTCGCATTGATAAACCTGATATGGAACACACTTAAGGGCTTAACTTGGGTAATCTGCAGTTTGTTCAAGTAGAAACAGCAGCGACAACACAACCACAACACCAACCGGCACCGAGACTGGGCACTGGGCCAGCGAAATTAAAACATAAGTGTGCGTCAGGTTTATAAACATTAAGGAAACGCAGCACTTGGGCAACTTGAGCTGGGGACTGGCGATTGGGGCAACGAGCAGAGGGACAGCCACAACAGATCGCAGATGCAGATCGTTGGCAGTTGCCGGGCGAATCGTCGCTCTTGTGCAGGTGGATTTCTCAAGTGGCTGCGTCCGTTCTCTTCTGACTTTGTACAAGTATCTGCATACACATGCACTTATGGCATGCCAATGTGTGTGAAGCCAGACATAGATACATTAGTACTTACGCTATTTGAAGTGGAACAAGTGCTGATTCAACTTTGCCAGATATTTCACAAAGGCCTAAAGATCTTAGAAATTGATTCCCAGCATTTTACTTCTCATTCGTTTAATCGCAACTTCCTTGATTTTAATTACATTGATTGACAGATTTAATTTAGTAATCCAATACGTTTTCCTTGCTCATTAGCCAAAGCAAAATTTACGATTTCCCCATAAAAACTCTCGTAAAATCCAACAGCAAATATCAGCGGAAATTTGGCTAAGCAAACACTGCATATATTCAATATTTGTAGGAAGTCAGACGGATATCCATCCCTTGGGAGCTGGCTCAGTTGTAAGACGCATTATTCATGGCTGCTCAAGATTTGGCAGCTATAATCTCGTTCCTTCTTAGCTGACTTTCTGCTGTCTGGAGGGAAATGCAATTGTATGTGGTGTCAAAAGTCGCACAGCAATCCATCAATTTAACAGCCATGGAAAATCAAGAGATGCGAGCACAAAGCGCAAAGCAGCCAAATCGTAAAATAAATTGTAGAAAATATATCAAGCAAAGGACATTAGGGACACAGTCGTTGCCCTGGGGTGGGTACACTCTGCAGGCATCAAATGATTTCTTGCCTTGCCACATTTCTATTCTTTAGCAGCGACAATGAAACACAAAACTCGTGTTGCAATTGAAAACACGGGACGTGTAGCCAGGGCTCTTTGTGGCGTGTTTGCGCAATGTTAACATCGCTGTGCAAACTTTAAGTTGAACAGACGTGCAGAGACGACGGTCCAGCAGCTGCCGAGAAGTCAACATGCTGCGCCCCAATCTCTAAGCACAACGCGTGCCATATGTCAAACTAACTAAGATAAAGCAACAACAACAACAAAAAAAACAACTCATAAATACCAAAGACTCCTGCCTGGCAGCCAGACTAACGGTAATTAAAAACCACACGCTTAACATTTATAAAAATGCATCCACCAAAAAAATTTGAGCTCCAAGCTGCTGCCCTGCGCCAGTCTTTGATTGGCTTCGCGGCGGCCCCTTGAATGCCAACAAAAAAGAAACGAATATACATAAGCAGAGTCCTGGCAGCCGGCGCAGTTCATCAACTGCAACAACTGTCGCCCGGGCATCAGGTTCACTTTACACTTCGCTCTTCTTCTTCTTCTTCGTCTACAGATTTTTATTTAAATTTTTTTTTATATATATTTTGACTCGTGTGTGGCGGCGGCAACAGCGACAAGATACATAACTTGATATAAATTTAAAAAATAAATAATAATAATAAAAAAAATAATAAATAAAAATAAATAAGAAACGAAATTAATAAATAAAAAAAATCATTTAATTATTTATTAATTGTTAATTAATATACTGACAGTAATAAAAATACAATTTTGATCTTTGCAAAAAGTACGTAATTGTAATACAAAAAAAACTGCATTAATTATGTTAGATTAGCTTGAGGCAGAGCTCCCCCAATAAGTTAAGAATTCTGATTTTACTTTTTGACGTAAGCCAATGAGTTAATTAGCTAAAATTTAGACTGACAGATTTACCACTCAATTAAAGAACAATGAATTAACATTTAAAAATAATAATAATAATAATAATAATAATAATAATAATGATGATAATAATAATAATA